GCTTTTTACTCATCTGTACGCATCTACCTGCATGCAAAGGCTGAATATAAAACAACTGGCTTTAATGAGCACAAAGAAATACTATCAGGAGGTTTATGTCAAACATAAATACCTTTTTTTCTTTTGTTTTTTTCATTCCTGCTTTATGTAATTCAGGGTTGCAGAATGTAGGAGTGTGTTCCAGAGGGTCTCACAGCGAGGGACGCCTCAGATCTGAATAAATATCAGGAAAATAAAAAAACGGTTTATGTAATGGTTTCAGAGGAAATGAAACCACAATTGTTTGGGATTGAAGGTTGGGATAAGCTGAGAGGGTGCTTAACGGTTAAAACACACCAAACCCTCGGCAGAATTTTAGACAGCGTGCACACACCTGTTCTCACATAAACACAGTGTTGTGTTCAGCACAAATTATCTTTGTTTTTATTTATTTATTATTAATATTCTGATTTATTATATTTATTTTGAACATGACTTCATATGAACTGTTCAGGTGCTGCTGATAAAATAAAGCCTTTAGGCTAATACCAGTGCATTAATGTTTCTGAATGTTTTCATCAAATAAAACCAAGTGATAAAGTAACACAGTAATACACAGGACAGTGTAGAGTCTAAGAGTGGGGGCCTCTTCTCAGGAATGCACAGGTGTGTTATGTCTCTCTTAGTTCTCCAGCTTCAGAGCTTGCCACATTACCATATTAGGGAAAGAAATGCTTAAGGTATACCGTGATAAAATTTATGATACATCTGTTAGACTACACTGTGAAACCTATAAAGAGCCTTGTACGCCCCCACCCTTAGCCTTCGTTCTTCATCTTTTTACTTGGTGATTCATCTGGCTTGGAAGGCCACAATTTGGTTTTTGGCTGTAATCTGCTGGACTGCAAAATAAAGATTCTTGCTGTTCAACCAGCCTGTTTCAGAGTTTCTCTCTTCAGGAGCAGCAGCAGTTTGCAGAAACCAAGATCCGGTTTTTTCACCTCATCAGGCCATCTGGGTAACACAGGATGGAGGTAACTCTGACAGAGGCTGATTGTCTTCCTATTGTACCACCCCTAGCACCAGATTAGCCACCCCCAGGAGCCACCCCCAAATAATAGGAGAGATTTCAAAGATGGTTAGATAGAGCAAGAAATGGAGTAAATATCTGTGAAGCAGCTATAATATCAGGGAATCCATCAGTGTGTAAAGAAAACAAAAGTTAAAACAAAGCAATAATAAGAGTTCTGGTTAAAAAAAAACACCAGCTATTATTATACCAATTTGGCATACCAGTTGGTTGCTATCTCTTTCTGAAGTTAGCATTAGGCCTGAGCCTAAAATTGAGATTAGCTTTCAAAATGTCATGTGGATTGCTTTTGGATACCACCATATCAGCTCAGCATTTCTAACAATGGCTGAATTATGATAACCATTTGAAATCATCTTTAGTGGCCATCTTTTATTTTGTATTTGTATTCAGATTGTTATTCTTGGTTGCTACTACACAAATTATCAGCTGTGTATGTTAATAACTGGCTAAAAGTTTAAGATTTGCATTAGCATTAGCAGTTAGCTTAAACTGAGATTAGCAATCGGCACAAAAAAAATGTTTCTGCTCAGTATTTTTTCAAACAGCTGAGTTAGAACCTTCGAAATAAGCTGTGGCAGCTGTCTCAAATGATCAAATACAGATTTTTTTTCTAAAATACACTTTGATCATCCCTGTGCTACCCTTTGAATAAAGTCGAGCTTTGCCCCTGGTAAACAGGCAAATTGACCAGAACCAGAAATCTGCAGGTACAGAAAACATTCAGGTGACATGTTAAAGTGCTAAGATAGCTTTTTATTTTAATCAATGTAAATATTTCCAAGTGTTATTTATTCTAATTTAGTTTGAGTCCTTATGTCTTATTTTAGATGGCAAAATGGTCCACAAACACTAACACATCTGGTGTTTTCTTGTTGGTAGGCCCTACTTTAGTTATTTTCCTCTCTGCTGGTGAACTGTCAAAGCTGTAAAACATTTTATTACAAACTAAAACAAAACAAAACTTTAATTCTTATTTTGTTTATCTGTGTTGCCATGAGTTTACTGAGCTTAGCCAAAGCATTAAATTCAGCCCACAATTGTCTTTGTCTTAGTTTGTTTTATTTTCCCTTATCTGTTGGCTGTTCTCACAGTGAGCCAAACATTGGCTCTGAAAATGAAAATGAGTTTTATGTATAGAGTAATAACGTAAATGGATTTGTCTCTGCGCCGCTCTCTGACAGCCTGCGGCTATTTACTTTTTTTTGTCTAATTATTCATTAGTAAATGCAGAGGAAGAAGCACAGAAAAATGTGGGTGCATGTTCACTGTAACAAAACAGAAATCCTCCACATACTGACATCTTTTACCAGAGGGTTAACTCTTTCTGATTGTCGTGATCTTTTACATGACATCATTAGTTATAGAGACAACATGACCACATGATATGGAAAAACACGATGTGTAGATGTCATGTCTTCTGATAAAAAAAAATGTATGCAATCGGCAGAAAGTATTCCACATACAAGCTGCAAAAAGGCTAGTCAGTTTTAAACAGTGCGTTACTCACAGATAGCCAGCAGGGGGTGCTATTAGACTCTTTAATGTGCAAAACAAGTCTATTATAACAACCTCAGGTGTGTCAAATAAACGCTGTATAATTAAAAAGTATGATCCTGTTTTCTTTTGTTTTTAAGTATGTGTAAATAAACAAACACATTAAACTGATTTTTTACTGATAAAATCAATAAAACTAAACCAAACTACAATTTAACATGATGTCTTTGGCTGTATCTAAAGAAATACTGAAATGATTCTTAAGGATTAGGCACCAAAGTAGCTTATATGTTTGGCTTTATAGTTGTTTGTTTGTATATATATATAT